GAAGGGCCATGGCAGGAATCTTTTAAATATGGAGGATGAGGCCTGTAGACCTGGCCCAGAAGGTATGGTGAGTGGCATCAGCAGCCACAGAGCTGGCATCCTCACAGTAGTGGCCCCAGACCTGTCCTGCCATGCATGGCCCGCTAGGCTCACCTGCTACACATGACAGCAACACCAGTAGCACCTCCCTCCTGTGCCCCCACCCTGGCCCAGCCACAGCCGCCGCCCACACCACTGGCACTCTGGGGATCAGGAAGAAGAGGCCGAAGGAAGCGGGAGTTCATGCTGAGCTGGGGCCAAGGCTGTGCTTCTGAGTAGTCAGAGTGAGGGTCTTTAGTGACTGAAGGAGAGGCAAGCAGCCCCTCCATGCTTGCTGTGTGCCTTAAATGCCATCTCCTGTCCCTTCCGGGCCTATGGGCTTCCCTTCCATTTTGCCCAACCCCTGGCAGCCAGCAGGTCCCTAGTCCCTTTCTGTACCCTGGCAATGTCTGGTGTCCCCGAGAAGGCTGAGCAGGCCTGGGGTGTGAGTGCCTCCAGAGGCCTCCTGATTCCAGGCAGGTGCTTGTCCCCTGATGTGGAGCCACCGCTGCTGCTGAGGTTGACAATCGAGGGCAAGATGTTCAGGGCTCAGTGCTAGGGTCTCCCAGGCCCTGGCTCCATGGCCACCACTGTGGCTAGTTGGCAGGGTACAGGTCAGATGTGCTGCTAGCCCTCCCATGTCTCCAGTTCACTTTTTCAAGGACAAGCGCCCATTTCTTCTGTCATGGGGCTTGGTCAAGTGGACACCAGGATCTCTGTGCTTCCTCAACCCAGTCATGGCAGCAGAGGGAAGACAACAGCTGCTGGCCGGGTGCAAGTTTGGAACAACTGTTGCTCTGAACCCCTCCTGGGTGTTTTTTTTAGCAGCTTTTATCAAAAAAGGAACTCTGGGCTGTTCTTCCCCCCTCTCCGTTTATTTGTGCTGTAAAGAGGGGGGTATCTGTGAACAGCCCCTTGGCCAGCTCCCTCTGGCAGCAGCCAGGGCACCCGGGTTGTCTAAGGACTGTGTGTGTGTGGAGTCAAGCTTGTGAGCAGTCGTGTGGGTCTTTGGTTTGTTTCTCCTTTGCAGGTCCTTCATTTCAGTCACTTCCTCCTGTCCCTCGCGAGTGCTGCTGTGTGCAGGTGGGGGGCACTGTGCACATCGGGCCCTTCCTCCGTGTGCGGACAGTGAGGTGCAATGTGTGGATTTAACTTATTAGCCAACAGGCTTCCCTAGTCACCTGCCTCTGGCTGAGGCTGAGCCCAGTGCTCACCGCAGCCTGGCTTCCACATGTCTGTTTCACGGGGGTGGGGGGCTGGGAGAGCTGTGCAGATCAGTCTTTGTAGGCACCCTGAGTGGCATGGACAGTTCAGTTTTCTACAGAGGCCAGCCCTTACCTGTGAGTTTGGTATGGACAAGGCTAGAGCAAGCAAATGCCACATCTGGCTGATCGTGAACCGAGACACCTGCCCAATGCCTCCCAGTGTGATGCTGTAATATAAATCCCCCACTAACCTGTCCGACAGTGGCATCTTCCTACAGACATTACAAGCGCGTAACTTTTATATGAAAAAATAAACAGGCAAAAGCCCGTCTGATGCCGCCTGTGTCCAGGCTTTCTCTACCAGGCTGCCTTGGGCCAGTCCCTACCTGTTTGTGACCTAGTTGAAGGGAAGGGGGTGGAGCCTAGGGCTCTGGTCGGCATTCTCTTCTCAGACCTGCTCTTGTGGTTGTGGTCACTCTGGCTGAGTAGAGGAGAGCACCAGGACCTGCCCTTCTCAGACTGAAAGGAAACAGCTTAGTGGCCATAGGCACTTAGCACCGCTCTGACAACCTGGGTTCTCTGGGGCCCATAAGGTAAGAGAAAACTGAGTTTTGCAAGGTGTCCTCCACCTCCACACACATGCGTGAGAAAAAGTAAAAGTAAATACACAAGCACTGTGCACACCCAAGAGCTGTGTCCCTGCCCTGTCATCACAGTGCCTTCTGCAGGTCACTCCTGTGACTTTCCAAATGAGTGCTGAGGGAAGAGTATGGTGTCTGCTCCATGAAATGTCCTCAGGACTCGGGAATGAGGTACCACACCTAGGAGGACAGCTCCCAACCAGCCCCCCGATGACATCAGACTGGAGAAAGGACTCCACAGTTAAGAGCAGTGGCTGCTCTTGCTGAAGACCTGAGTTCAAGTCCCAGCACACACGGTGTCTAACCACAGGCAGTGCCCTCTTCTGACCTCTCCCAGCACCAGGCATGCGAATAGTGCACATGCACGCAAACAAAACACTCATACACAAAATCTTAATTAAAAAACAAGCCTGAGTCACACTTGGTAGGAGGCGCACATCTTTAACTCCAGCACTTGGGAGGCAGAAGCAGTTGGATCCCTGTGATCTCCAGGCCAGCCGGGGATACAAGTGAAACCTTGTCTTTTTTGTGTGTGTGTGGTTTTTCGAGACAGGGTTTCTCTGTAGCTTTGGAGCCTGTCCTGGAACTAGCTCTGTAGACCAGGCTGGTCTCGAACTCACAGAGATCCGCCTGCCTCTGCCTCCCAGGTGCTGGGTTTAAAGGAGTGCGCCACATGGGTGTGTAGCTCAGTGGTAAGATGCTTGTCTAGTATGTGTGAGGTCCTAGGTTCAATCCCCAATACCACACCACATGCAAAAAACACTATATACATAAAATGAGACATTTTATCAGATCATATTGTGAAGATATCAGTTGCCAGGTGTGGTACACTGCGTAGCCTGAGCTACATACTGAGAACTCCCAAAATAGGCATCTCATCCTCAATTAGTAGCTGGTGTAAAGCAATTCCTATTAAAATCCCAATAGTGCGTGTGTGTGTGTGTGTGTGCGCGCGCACGCACGCGTGCGCGCATGCACAGTGCACATGTCTGGGCGAGAAGGCTAGAGACTGACATCAGATGTCATCTTCAATTGTTATCCCCCTTTTTTAAGATTTATTTTTGACTGGCATGACGCACACCTTTAATCTTTAATCCCAGTGCTCAGGAGGGAGAGGCAGGTGGATCTCTGTGAGATCAAGGCCAGCCTGGTCTACAGAGTGAGTTTCAAGACAGGCTCCAAAGCTACACAGAGAAACCCTGTGTCGAAGAAAGAAAAGGGGGGAGGGGCTCTAGCACCCTTAACCACTGGAACCTCTCTAGCCAGACAGATCTTTATTATTTAAGTATATTTGTAAATCTTACTTCTCTCACTGTTTGTTTGTTGGTTCTGTTTTTCCAGACAGGGTTTCTTTGTGTGGCCCTTGTTCTGGAACTCATTGAATAGACCAGGCTGGACTGGGACACACAGAGACCCGCCTGTCTCTGCCTCCCGAGTGCTGGGATTAAAGGTGTGCACCGCCACTCTGGCTTCTGTTACTATGATGAGCCGTATTTTGTATCTAACCTCTTCATTGAGTTGCCTTCTGGTTTTTGTTTTGTTTTTCATCATATTCTAGCTACAGAATCATGTCTTCTGGTTTTGTTTTGTTTTTCATCGTATTCTAGCTACAGAATCATGTCTTCTGGTTTTGTTTTCCTTTTGTGTGTTTGTGTGGGGGTGTGTAACGGGCAGCTGTGCAAATGTCCCAGTGCCTATGTGGAGCTCAGGGGACAACTTTGAGAAGTTGCCTCTCTCCTTCCACCATGCAGGTCCTGGGGATTAAAAGCCTTGGTAACAAATGCCTTTACCTGATGAGCCATCACCCTTTAATTGATGAATAGTCACACTTAGTGCTGAGATGTCCCCCACTATAGCTGTGTATTCACACTTAGTGCTGGGCCGTGCCCCACTATAGCTGTATATTCACACTTAGTGCTGGGATGTCCCCAACTATAGCTGTGTATTCACACTTTTTGCTGGGATGTCCCCTATAGCTGTGTATTCACACTTAGTGCTGTGATGTCCCCCACTATAGCTGTGTATTCACACTTAGTGCTGGGCCGTCTGTTTCTCACATTCCAGACTCCACTTTCCTGTTTTCTTAGGAGCCTCTCCCTCAACAGCATTAATGGGCACTGGACCTTGAAATCCTGACGCAGGTAATCTTGACAGTTTTATTTATCACCACCCAAGGTATTCTAAAGCAGCAGCAGAAGAGGCAAAATTCCCATTAGTCATGCAGAGCTTCAGGCTGCAGTTACAGCCCCCCTGCAGTTTAACAGGATCCCCAGGTGACTGATCCTGCCAAAGGAACAGCCTTCTAGAAACCGTGCCATGGTGACTTATTTAAAAGGCCTGAGAATGGTGTCATTGGCTGCTGGGTGCTATGAGGTACCTCTGAGGCATCTACCAGCTCCCCAAAAAATCCTTTTGTCCTCTTTGTGGCTGTCATGCATTTTGAAGGTCAAGTTCTTGGTTCCAGAACAGCCCTGTGTTCTGGATCTCCACGGGGCTCACTGCTGACTTCCTTATTCCAGTCTCCACCCCTGGAGGGGGCTTTAGGAGCTGTTGGCTACTAGGAGCAGGGCCCAGAGGGCCAGCCTCTGTGTGTGTGTGTGTGTGTGTGTGTGTGTGAGAGAGAGAGAGAGAGAGAGAGAGAGAGAGAGAGAGAGAGAGCGCTGTCTATGCTTTAAAGTCCGGCTTAGTGCCCTCCTCAGAGATGGATGGGACCCTGTGACTGTGACAAGAGTCTCCCTCACAGCCTGCTGGACTTGGCCTCGGGGCACATGATGTGAGGACAGCTGTGTGTATCAGTGCACGGTGTCTCACAGCATCTGGGGTGGCCTGATTGGAGAGCACTCTCAGTTGACAGCCATCCCTAGCAGACCCATTTGTTTGTTCGTTTGTTTGTTTGTTTGTTTTTCAAGACAGGGTTTCTCTGTAACATTTGGAGCTGGTCAGCTACCTTTTTTTTTCTTTGAGACAGGGTTTCTCTGTAGTTTTGGAGCCTGTCCTAACCTGGATCTCACTAGGTAGACCAGACTGGCCTTGAACTCCCAGAGATCCACCTGCCTCTGCCTCCTGCGTGCTGGGATTAAAAGCAGTGCCACCATCACCCAGCACCTTTTGTTTATTTCTGAGGCAGTCTCACATAGCCCAGGCTTACCTCCAGCTCTTGGTGTAGCCAGAGCTGCCTCTGAACTGTGCCTTCTGCTCAAGTTCTGGGATTACAGACACGCACTGCCACGGCCCATCTGTGTAGAGCTAGGGATGGAACACGGGGCTTTGTGCATGCAGGGAACTGAGCAAACCATCCTCAACCCTCGGCTGGCCTCGTCCAGTGACTGTAGAAGAGTGAGCAGGAAGCTGGGGCAGGGAAAGGCGGAAATGGAAACCTCAGACAGGTAGCCAGCGGAAGCCAGAGGCAGTAAAGAGAAGAAACTTTTAGAAAAGTGGATCTCGGGAAACAAGGCGTCCTGTTTAAGTGGAGCTGAAGTGTGAGCCGCAGACAGACAGCTCGGAGAAGGCTAAGCAATGGATCTGAGGACTCAGTTGCACTCAGACGATAGACAGAAAGTAGCGGTGTTCTCTGAAGTAGTGACAGGAAGTTCTGTCGCTTCTTACTAACTGACCATAGCCTGCCCTGATCTCTCCCCACATGGGCAAGAGTGCAGGAGCAGTCAGGAACTCTCAGGGAGAGAAGCAGAAGTGAGTTCTCCGCTCTCCCAGGGAGAGCGCATGCGACTAGAGCCAGATCCCTGAGTTGGGCTGGAGATGGCCACGTCCTCTGGAAGGCTCTGAAGACAGTGGGGACAGTAGTCTTCTGTGTTCTCCAGGAGTGAAGGTGAAGACGGGCATCCCAGGAAGGGCCTATGCCCCTCAGATGTGGATCCTACCGAAGGCCTCAGTGGGCCACCTGCAGACAGGACTTCTGAGCCCACATCCCCTTTGCCCTGTGTGAGCAACACGAGGAATCAGGGTCCACGGAAAGGGCACGGCCTGGCCAGCAAGTCCTGGACTCAGGGGAGGTAAAGGGCCACCACCACATAGATGACCCAGCTGGTTGACACAAAGACCCCGAAGAGCAGGCTGAAGAGCACGAGCGAGCGGGCCTTCCTCGAAGCCTCCTCTGCCTGTGCCAGGTCACCCCTGCCCAGGGCTGCTCGAGTCTGTAATGAGACAGGTCAAGGTGGGATGCATCAACAGTGATACCTCTCTACCCACCCCAAATCCCATCAGTACAGCTTCAAGACCAGGCCCATGCCACAAGCCAGAACTGCCAGTCTGGGAATCTCAGTACCCACCCCCACAGCTCATTGAGGTGTGGGAATGGTGGCAGAGGTCCCTCTAGCACTAAGGAATGCCCTCAGATTTCTCTCATGCCATCTCATAGCAGCTCTCAAATGGGGCTCATTGCACCCCACTTTGCTGATGGTGGCGTGAAAGTTCAGCAGACTTAAATGACCTCCCTGGGCCACACAGCTGGTGGGGAAGTCAAAACCCACAGTCCTATCTCTGAGCTGCTTGCTCCCCTCAGTCCTGGATGGTGCTAACCTGAACTGAGACTTCCCCCTCTTCCCAGCAAGGCCAAGCTGTTAGCTGCAAGCACAGCTCCCAACCCAAGGCTTGCCTTCTGTCAGACAGAATGTCATGGCACCTTTGTGAGTCCCCCGGGCCTGAGCCAGGCACGTGGACAGTAATGGAGGGAAAAGCAGGAGGCAGGAGGGGCGGGGAGAGATACTAGTGAGAGAGCATGGATAGACGGACAGTCATGCAAATGAAAGAATGAACAGGGAGTGAGGCAGGGGAATAGAAACTGGGAGGTGAGTCAGTGAAAAGGCGGTGAAGGAGGTGGATGAATTGACAGGTGACGGATGGGTGGAGGGCAGGAGGCTGAATTGATAGATGTGTCTTGGCGGGAGGGAGGGCAGGGAGATGAATTAACCGGTGAGTAGTTGTGAGGCAGCAGGACAGAGGTGTGGGCAGGCAGATGGCAGCTAGACAGAGGGGCTAGCCGAGGCAGCTGGATGGGTATGCAGACTCCAGGCTGCCGAAATACTCCAACAGGGCTGGGCAACACCTCGGCCCTCATCAATCATTTATACCTTGTTTTGTTTTAGAACTTGCCAGAACAGATCCTTAGTAAAGAGGGTCACAGGCAAGCAGCAGGAGGTAAACAGACAAGAAAGGCTAGGCCCCACAATGGGGCTTCTTCCTGGGTCCTTCCCAGCCGCTAGCTGCTGTGTAGGACACCTACGAGTCTCCACAGGGGCAGAGGCTCCTGTCCTTCATCTGTGTCCCTCCCGGTCACCTACCTCGTGGGAGTAGACGATGGCTATAAGCCCCGTGAGAAGGCAACAGAACAGGGTCACCAGCACTGACTCCATCATGAAGTCCTTAGGCAGAGGCCTGTGCTCCACTGGCATGGGGGGAGGCCCGCCGGCCATAGGGCTGCCATACTGTGGGGCAGAACTACTTACATGAAAAAACAGGGAAAGTGGGGCTAGCCCCACCCCCTACCCCTCCTCACACCCACCCCGGCCTCTGGAGTGTTCTCATCTCTGCCCTGCACACACGGCCTAGTCCAGAGCCAACCACCACAATGTCCTATCCTGCCAAGGAGCTGTGTAGGCCTCCACCTCCCCCCACAGTGGCAACCCACTGCCTGTCTGCCTTTTTGTCAACAGGGCCTCTCTGTGTAGACTTGGCTGGGCTAAGACCCAGGGATCCACCAACCTCTGTGGCTGCTGGAGTTACAGGCCTGTGCCTCGGTAATCCTAGTACTTAGGAGGCGGAGGCAACAGAATCGGGTGTCTCAGCTACAAAGTGAGTTCCCGGCCAGCCTGAGTTGCATGAGACCTTGTCTTTAAAAGTTTTCTTTTAACCAGGTAGTGGTGGTGTTTGCCTTTAATCTCAGTACTTGGGAGGCAAAGGCAGATGGATCTCTCTGAGTCCAGCCTGGTCTACAGACCAAGTTCCAGGACGGTCAGGGCTAAACAGAGAAGCGCTGTCTTGGGGGGGGGGGGATCTTTTTATTATTTTTTTTTTTATTATTTTTCTTTCGATCAGGCAATCACCTCACACATCCACTTTGGGGCCGCCATCACTAATGTCACCTTCCTTACTCCTCTTGCCGCCACAGCAAACCCATCCTTCCCAGAGCACCTGGCTTGGTCACCCCTCAACCTGTGCCCAGTGTCCTTCTTGGACAGCTCCTATTCATCCTTAGGAATCCTCCTTGCTTGTCGCTTTTCTCTACCTCGAGAAATCTCTAGCCACCTGTGTGTAGGTCTGCCATTGGGCGTGATCTCACCGCGGGGAAGGGGAAGGAGGCTCCGGCGGCAGCAGCAGCGGGTGGAAAGAGCGGCCCAGGCGGCGGTGGGTAGAGTGCAGCGGGCCCGGGTGCGGGCTGGAACAGCACCGGCACCTGCGGGAAGGGCGGGTAGAGCAGCGCCACTGCCTTGGGGTCCGGAGGCGCGTAGGGCGGCGGCTCACCCACGAAGCCTATGGGCGGCACGGTGCCATTGGTGGCCTTGGGCCCGGGCCCCGCATCGCCCGACGAGGATGCGGGTTCTGGGTCCCCCCGGGCGGGCTCGCTGCCCTCTGCGGCCACGGCCCCGTCCTCTTCTGGCCCTGCGTCTTCATCCAGCAGCTGCGGGCGGCGGGGGAGCTGCGGGAGCGCCGGCTGTGAGGGGTTGCGCGTGTCCTCGGTGGCGACGGTAGGGTCCTCCGGGACTGCGGGGCTGTCCCCCCTCTTGGCATCGGGACCTGGGGAGAAAGGCCTGTGAGGCCAGGCTGCTGATCCCCGAACCCAATCGCACCCAGAGCGCAGGGGACCCAGTGCGTCCCTCCTGGCAGCCAGGGTTCCAATGCTCCCATCACCCTGCCCCATGAGGTTCCTTCGGTGATGCCTCCTCTTGAACCTAGGCAGAACCTGACACTTTCTCTGGCCTAGGGGACATTGACAAAGCACAAGTTGGAACTTAAAACACCTTGTCTTTGAGTCGCCAGAGCTTGGGGAGGTGTGCTCAGTAATGTTAGCAGGTCAGCTCTCAGGGTGACCAAGACGTTCCAAACGTGAAGGAAGGGAAGTTCACGATGCAAGGGTACAGGACTTACTGATACTGACGCCTCAGCTCTTAGCAGTGGTCTTGCCAGGGCTGGTGAGACAGATTTGTTGGTGACATGTCTGCTGTGCAACCATGGAAACCTAAGTTCAATTCTTTGAACCTACACAAAAATCATGGCAGACGTTTGCCATCCCCGCGGTGGAGACTCGCAGTTCCCTGGGGCTCACCAGCCAGCCACCTTAGCCTAACTGATGGTCTAACAGTCAGCGAGAGACTCCAGTATCAGAGGAGACAGCTCCAGAGATAATGCTTGAGGCTAACCTATGGCCTCCCTCTTGGGAAAAGAATAGGGGACTACACTACAGAGCTAGTTCCAGGACAGGCTCCAAAGCCACAGAGAAACCCTGCCTCGAAAAACCAAAAAAAAAAAAAAAAAAAGAATAGGGGACAAAACCGTTCATGATGGAAAAGTTCATGCTGAGTGCTTTAAGCAGACTTTTTTAAAATGCATTTATTTGTATACACGTGAGTGTTTTACCTGCATGTATGTTTGTACATTATATGCATGCAGTGTCTGTGGAGGTCAAAAGAGGATGTTGGACCCCCTGGACCTGGAGTTACAGATGGTTGTGTACTGCCGTATGGGTGCTGGAAATTGAACCAGGGTCTCCTCTGCAAGAGCAGCAAGTGCTCTTAACCCCCGAGCCATCTCTCCAGCCCGAGCCCAAGTGCTCCAACCCCTGAGACAAATCACAAAAACCATCAAGGGTCCCTGAAAGTGAAAACAGCAAGTAGGTTCCTCACTTCCCTGCTCCTCTGGGCCCTGAGTCCAGGATAAAGGAATGATCCCGCGGGGAGAGCAGAGTGAAGATGCTGGACTCCTGAGCACTGCCTGTGAGCTCAGCCACCATTGGATTCTCTGGTCCTGGAGGACCCCAAGTCCTGAACAATCAGGGGTGCTCTGACACTCTAGAATTAATCTAATGCAGCCCTAAGCACAGGTGTAGAGGCAGACCCACGCACTAGCACAGGAAGCCTGAGAGATGAGCTGACCACGGAGAAGTCACGCACAGAGGGTGAACTCAAGCTGAGTATGGCGTAATCACCCGAGCCAGGGAATCACAGCAGAGCTGAGAAGCAACACTGACAGCCTCGGCACCAAAGGCCCAAAGCCAAATAATCTGCACTGTGAAGAACTGCAACCGTGTGAGCATTCTTCAAGGAAAACCAAAGAGAGGGAAGGGACCAACAAACTCTGCAATCCCAGCACCCAGGACTGCTGCAAGTTCAAGTCCAGCCAGGGCTATGAGACCCTATCTCAAAAACAAAAAGAAAGGTCAGCTGGATGGCTCAGCATGGTAGAACTTGCTGCTGGGTCTCAAGTTCAATCCCCAAGACACCCATGGGAGAAGAAGAGAAAAGACTCCTGCAACTTGTCCTCTGACCTCCACTGTGAACTATGGAATTCTAGTGCTTATACATGCACCTCAAACTCACAGAGATCCTCCTGCCTCTGCCTTCCGAGTTCTGGAACTAAAGGCGCAATCCCAGAATTCAGAAGGCAGAGGCAGGAGAATCTCTGTGAGCTTGAGGCCATCCCAGCCTACAGAGTGAGTTCCAGAAGAGCCAAGGCTACACATAGAAACCCTGTCTCAAAAAAAACCACACACACATACAATTAAAACACTAACACATCCCATCCCTGGTACCCAGACACTGGAATTAGAAGAAAAAGCATCCATGTTCCACAAGGTGAAGAGAAACACACTTGGGAACCAAGTAGCTATTTTAAACTAAATTTTAAATTATCTGAATTTATTTCATTTATTGAGACAAATTCTCACTATGTATCCCCAGATAGCCTGGAACTGAGAGTCTAATATTTGAAGAGATCACAACACACATTTTTTTTGTGTGTGTGTGTTTTTCGAAACAGGGTTTCTCTGTGGCTTTGGAGCCTGTCCTGGAACTAGCTCTGTAGACCAGGCTGGTCTCGAACTCACAGAGATCCGCCTGCCTCTGCCTCCCGAGTGCTGGGATTAAAGGCGTGCACCACCATCGCCCTGCGCAACACACATTTTTACTGTTTGGTCTGGTGTATTTGAACAATACTTCAGAGTTAAAACCTTAAGAAAACTTGCTAAAGGCTGGGACATAGTTCAGTGATAAAGAGCTTGCACTGCTGAAAGACCCAGATAAATCCAGACCCCTCTAGCAGAAAGAATAGAGCCAAAAATCTAGCAGGGAGAGAAGAACCAAAAATCTACATTAGCCAGTTCAGTGACTCTGTTCCGGGAACTAGCTGACCATAAAGTTAGATTATAATCTTGAGAATAATCTTTTTTTTTAAACATTTATTTATTTATTAAGTATACAGTATTCTGTCTGCTTGCATGCCCAGAAGAGGGCACCAGACCTCATTATAGATGGTTGTGAGCCACCATGTGGTTGCTGGGAATTGAACTCAGAACCTCTGGAAGAGCAGGCAGTGCTCTTAACCTCTGAGCCATTTCCCCAGCCCGAGAATAATCTTGAGAAATGGGGAGTTACCCCCTTGTGGGGTATTTTCGGAATTTTCCAATGACGCCCTCTCTACCCCCTTTGGGCTGTGGTTTCTTCCCCTAAATACCCCCTCTCCCAGCTACTCGGGGTTGAACTCCTCTACCCCTGCCTGGGAAATGAGTTTCGGCCCCAGTGAGCTGGTTCCTGTCCTGTCAATAAACCTCGGTGATTGCACCAAGGACGGTCACTTGTAAGTTCCTGGGGGGTCGTGTTATCCCGAGACTTAAGTGAGTCTCCCCATTCCGGGGGGTCTTTCACGGCATTCATGGGATCCTCAATACTGAAGAGAGGGAGGAAGGGATGGAAATGTTTTGGGGGGGGGTTGATTGTTGTTTTTAGTTTGTTTTTTGATTTTTTTTTTCTGAGACAGGCTTTCTCTGTGCAGCCCTGGCTGCCTTGGAACTCACTGCTCTGTAGACCAGGCTGGCCTTGAACTCAGAGATCTGCCTGCCTCTGCCTCCTGGAAAAGTTTTCTAAAGTCACCTGAACAGGGCTCGGGGATGGCTCAGTGGGTAAGAGCACTTGCTGAACACACGTAAGGACCTGGGTGCGTATCCGCAGAACCCACAGAAAAAGCAGGAGTCGGTGGGAAGAGGAGGTGTGCACCAGAAACCTCAGTGCTGTGGGGACGGATAAAGCCCCAGGCTGGGGGAAAAATCCCCTCTAAAGGGAATAAGGCAGAACCGGAAGTCCCCCCTCTGACCTCTCTGCCTACTGTGAACCCACTAATTCACACATGAACATATACAGACACACACACACACACACCACTGGCATGTTGTAGCTCCTCCCCTCTCTTGTAGGGAAATCCTTAGCACCACCAATGAACCAGGGCAAACCTGCTCCTGGACAGACCACAAACAACGGCTAGGTAACTCCGGAACCAGCCGGTCAGTCCCAGGAACCCTCGCCTGGATGAGCTGGCCCTAAGGGCAGGTGCGAACAGGGGCCCTGGGACCCTGGGCCTCTTTCCACCAGCTATAAAATAAGGACATATAATGGCAACAGCAGTGTTAACTATGACAGGGAGCAGGTGCCAGGGCCCTGGGCTCAAGTCCTCCCCAATCTTAAGGATTTTCCTTACACAGACTAGGGAGCCAAGGGCCCAGCAAGCACTTCAACGACTTAAACGCCTTGACCCAGTTATCAAAACAAAAACCGCAATTTCCCTGGATCCCGCCAGAGCAAATACCTGGCCCTATGACACGCAGATAGGGGCCTCCGAGTAAATAAATCCACTGGCTGCGCCTGGCTCTGTGGCCTGGGGTTCTAGAGTTCTCGACACCCGAGCCTGAGGCGACAGTCCAACCGAGACAGAGGAGGTGTTGGGGCTGTTCCAAGGCTAGGGGTAATCTAGAGGGGGGCGGGGCACAGTGAAATTCTGCTAGTCACCCCAGCGTCCTCTATAGCAGGTGCAGAGGATGCGAGGGGCACCCGGCGCATCTGATCGCGACCCTGTATGGGTCCTGGCAACACCCATGCCCGTGGGACTCCCGAGTGAGCGCGGGGACGCGGTTACGGCTCCCCGGGGTCCTCTGCTTGGATGTGTGGCCGCGATGGGACCCTACCAGGGAGCATCCACACCTGCCTCTCTATTCTCTGATCCAGCCTGCTAGTTCTCTCCCAACCTACGGCTCTTCATGCCTCCTTGCTGGGTCACCCTGCTTGAGGAGCCTAGCCTGTTCGGGGCTGGGGTCGGTGAACAAAGCAAGCACACACTGGACACAACCAGGAGAGTCTGGGCGGGAAATGCAGAGCCACTTGCTGCTGCCAGGACACCGGCTTTCTACCAGGGGCCCCAGATGTCCCGCAGTGATGCAAAGAAGAGCGAGAGTTGCTGAACTTTCCGCCGCAGCCTCTTGGATCCCCCCCAATGTCACCTCGCTCCTGCCTGCGCCCTCGGTCTTTGCGCTTAGTCACCGTACCCGGCGCCCCTTACCTGCCTCCATGGCTGGATCCGCGTGAGTGCTCGCAGGCTGCGCTGCTCCAGGTTTCAAGTCTGGGTCCGCCCCACTCGGTTGAGGGTGCAGACTCGGGTTTCCTGGTGCCCGCAGCGCGACAGGTTAATAATTGACCGCCTTGTTTGTCCACGACTGTGTCAACACGTCGCTCCCTCGCGCCCTGGCGCTTGCAACCCACCCTGCGTCCTCCGGGCTTGGGTCAGACTGCGCTGGGCGGACCCCGAGGGTAGGATCCGCTCTTTGGAGCCTTGTGAGCCCTTTGCGGAGTTGCGGGACCTGGATGTTGGGCGGGGGAGGGGAGTGGTCAAAATAATAGGCCGGACAGGAGGCTCGTGCAATTCCCACAGGGATGGGTAGAGCACGGAGAAAAAACATAGGTAGAAGGGGAGACCTGGGCAAAGGCAAGATAGAATAACTAAGTCATCAGCTTCCGGCTCCCTGCCCCAGAGAAGCCAGGAGTGTAGATTTCATCTAAGAGCTGAGGTTTAGAACAACTGGTGCCTAACTTTCTTCCCGAGATGCACCAGGCTAAAGAATGTCCAACAGGTCCGAACCCAGTCACCTGAAAATACCACACTCGCGACGCAGGCACGCTTGGCCGCCTTATGTGTATTCACAGCTATGCTCCCTTACGAGGAGGAATGTTGTGTCAGGTTTTCAGTTCACGCAGGTCCATAGAAGAAACAGGGTCACTCGGGAGAATTTTAGCCTTCGCAGCCTCAGGGAGTCAGCCTCTGGCGAGCTAACTGACTGTAGCTTTGTGAAAGGTTTCTTTTAATGTTGTACAGTTTACACCGTTAGCGAGTCAATTTCCGCATACCAAAACCTCTTATCTGAAGCTCCCCAAAGAGACAAATGCCAAAGCAATTCCCAGTCACAGGCCGTCTCCGTTTACCGAGTCCTCCCAAAACCAAGTTTTGCATAGGCTTTGAACCTTTAGGAAACTCTCAGATAAGATTTACATACTTCAAAGATACCGGACACAAGAGGAAACAATCACAAAGGCCGATCAAAGCCAGGTGCTACCGTTCCGGAATCAGACCAGCTACTGAGCTCTGCTGGAACTCGGGAACTCGCTAGAGATGAAAACAAGAGGACCGAGTAACTGAGGAGGAACTGACCAGGCCTTGAAGGTCTGTGAGACAGAAACGAGGGATAAAGAGGGGTGGCTGCTAGAGTTTACAAAGAAACTCCTTTGACCTCTGCAGACGGAAATAAACTCTAGGAGCTGAGTATGGCGTTCAAGCTCTGCTCATCCACTCCATCTGGAAGCCCCTAAACTAAAAGGAGACATTAGAAATAAAAGGTGATGAGACTGCCCAGAAGTTAAGAGCACTTGCTGCTCTAGGAGAGGACGGGAGTTTGGTTCTCAGCACCCACACAGGATAGCTCACAACCACCACTAACTTCAGCCCCAGAGATCTGACACACTCTTCTGGCCTCTACAGACAATGCACTCACTCACAGACGTACACACAAACACAACGTCTTAGTTACTCTCTTGTACTTTAGAAGAATGTATTGGTTTAAAGTTTATAAAAGTGAGACCAGCCAGACCTGCAACGAGGCCTGAAAATGAAGCTTTATTGAGATATGAATTGTCAAGCCGTCCCTGAGAGAAGGGAGAGCAGCCCAGACTAAGGGTATAATGCCCAAGGTACTCACCCCCAAATGAACTCACAGAGCCCAGGTTTCCAATGAAAATTACAAGAGGGTTTGTAATATTCAAACTCGAGTTTGGACCACACCTCCAGCACACCAACGCAGTGGGTAAGGGAAGTGAAGCCCCCAAGCTGGAGAAGGGGAGACCTTTCTTGTTTTGTTTTGTGGGGTTTTTGTTGTTGTTTTGTGTGGTTGTTTTGTTGTTGTTGTTTTGGGGGTTTTTTTTTCTTGGTTTTTCGAGACAGGGTTTCTCTGTAGCTTTGGAGCCTGTCCTGGAACTAGCTCTGTAGACCAGGTTGGCTTCGAACTCACAGAGATCTGCCTGCCTCTGCCTCCTGAGAGATCGGCCTGCCTCTGTCTCAAAAGGACTTGTTCCCTCTTGGCCGGGGACTTAGGTCAGGCTAATAGTTGGGGCTTATACTTTCTGAGGAGGGTAAGCCATGCCCATCACAGCGGCTGCCGGCAGCATGGCAGCAGTAGCTGAGAGCTCACATCCTGATCTGCCAGTAGGAGGCAGAGGAAGCAAGAGCCAAAAGGGGTATGGAGGGTGCTAACTGGAAGTCAGCATGGGCTTTTGACATCACACAGGTTTTTAATCCCAGCACTTGGGAAGCAGTCTTTTTGTACACTGTCAAGGTGTGTCACTCTGACTGATTAGCCAATAACTAGGCAGGATTTCTGGGGCAGAGAGGACACCGGGAAGAAGGTGGAGATGCCAGGAGACACAGAGCAAGCAGGATGGGCAGTGCAGAGATGAGGTGATAAAGCCACGAGACAGAAAGTAAATTAATAGAAATGAGTTAATTTAAGTTGAAGAGCTGGTTTAAAACAAACTTAAGCTGTTGGCCAAGCTTTCACAGTTGAAAAACTCTGCCTACAGAGGTTAAGAGAGTATACTCGCATAGGACTGAAGTTCCGTTCCCAGCACCCCACATCAGGTGGTCCATAAACTGCCCGTATCGCCAGCTCCAAGGGTCTTAGCAGGCATCTGGACACACACGCACACGTGAACACACAGATTCACTCCTCTTTTCCGAGGAAACATCACCCAAACAGGGAAGCAAGCTAAGAGGGAGGAAGCCACGGCAAAAAGTCCAGGGGCAATGACACTGTAGGCAGAATAATCAAGAGACCCAGACCCCGTGGAGTCCAGTATGTAGACGGGCAGACCTGAGCGTGCCATCCAGGAGGAGAGGGGGCAGCGGGATGGGGAGAGGGGACGTTGCAGCACAATGTTCAATCAATGGAGCAGCGTCTTGGAAATGACGACCTAAACCCTGTCAGGACTCCAGAGCAACGCAGGCAAGACCTTGCTCTTTCGGATAGCAACGAGTTGGAGTTTTTAAAGATTTTCTTTTTCATTTATGTGCACATGAATGTGTTTGACCTCAGAGGTCAGAAGAGGGCATCTGATCACTCAAGATTAAGTTACAGACAGTTGTGAGCTATCTAAATGTGGGCATCAGGATCTGATGCCCTCTGCAAGAGCAACCAGAGTTCTTCACCTCTGCAGCATCCCTCCACTCCCCTCTCTTCTTTTTTTTTTTTTTTAATTTAAACTGGTGAAAACACGAACGCAATGGCATAGCCTCTACTATGAGTGTTGCTGGGCCCATATATAATCTCCCTTCCTTTGGGTTTGTTTGTTTGTTCGAGACAGGGTTTCTCTGTGGCTTTGGAGCCTGTCCTGGAACTAGCTCTTGTAGACAAGGCTGGCCTCGAACTCACAGAGATCCGCCTGCCTCTGCCTCCCAAGTGCTGGAATTAAAGGCGTGCGCCACCACCGCCCAGCTGAAGTATTATTTCTTAAGAACAAAGTGTGGTAGTGCCACGGGCCTTTAACCCAGCACTCAAGAGGCAGAGGCAGGTGGATCTCTGGAGTTCAAGGCCAGCCTGATCTACTTAACACTTTCCAGGACTGACTCCAAAGCTACAGAGAAACCCTGTCTCAAAAAAAAATTAAAAAAGAGGCCGGGCAATGGTGGCACACGCCTTTAATCCCAGCACTCGGAGGGCAGAGACAGGTGGATCTCTGTGAATTCGAGGCCAGCCTGGTCTACAGAGCTAGTTCCAGGACAGGCTCCAAAGCCACAGAGAAACCCTGTCTCGAAAAAAAAAAATTAAATAAATAAATAAAATAAAAAGAAAAATTGTCAAGTAGTTTTTTAAAAATGAAATACATCTAAAGAGGCAGGGGCAGGAGAATCATAGAGTTTGAGATATTTGGCCAGCCTGAGATCTCTGTAAGCCAGCCTGGTCTACAGGATGAGGATAGCCAGGGCTACGCAGAAAAACCTTGTCTTGAAAAAATACAAACAAACAAACCAAAAAATGAAGCGCATCTAAATTCAAAGGTAAAGCTGGACATGGTGGCACACGCCTTTAATCCCTGGCACTCCACTGATCTACATAGTGAGTTCCAGGACAGGGCTATAGACAGACTCTGTCTCAAAACATATAAATAAATAAATGTAAAAATGAATCTAAAAGTAAAAAATCCCAACAATCCATAATGGATGTGGTGTCACAGGCCTGTCATTCCAGCACATACCTGTCAGTCATCCCAGTTCACACCTGTCATCCCAGCACACACCTGTCAGTCATCCCAGCACACACCTGTCAGTCATCCCAGCACACACCTGTCAGTCATCCCAGCACACACCTGTCAGTCATCCCAACACACACCTGTCAGTCATCTCAGCGTACACCTGTCATCCCAGCACACATATGTCATCCCAGCTCACACCTCTCATCCCAGCACACACCTGTCAGTCATCCCAACACACACCTGTTATCCCAGCACACACCTGTCAGTCATCCCAGCACACACCTGTCAGTCATCCTAGCACACACCTTAAATCCCAGCACTTGGGAGACAGAGGCAGGCAGATCTCTGTGAGTTCAAGGTCTACAGAGTGAGTTCCAGGACAACAGCCAGAAAAAGCTACATAGTGAGACCCTTTCTCAAAAAAAAAAAAAGGCAAATATTTTTTTTTTTTTTTTGGTTTTTCGAGACAGGGTTTCTCTGTGGTTTTGGAACCTGTCCTGGAACTAGCTCTTGTAGACCAGGCTGGTCTCGAACTCACAGAGATCCGCCTGCCTCTGCCTCCCGAGTGCTGGGATTAAAGGCGTGCGCCACCACCGCCCGGCTAAGGCAAATATTTATATGTATGTATATATGTAACACATAACACATGAAAAACAAGGACAAATCCTTGCTGATACAGCACACTGTGTCCCTTTAACCAGCAAGCCTTTCTTGAGGGCCAGCAGGATGGCTCCGCAGGTAAGGAGGCTTGCTCAAGCCTGGCAACGTGAGTTCCATCTCCAAAACCCACAGGCCGCAGGGAGAAAAGGGATTTCTGCAGGCTGTTCTAGAACTAATCCCCTCCCCCCTTCTCATCTCAAAAAAAGAAAGAAAGAAAGAAAGAAAGAAAGAAAGAAAGAATG